TCATCTTCCTCTGGACCGGGGCCTACACCTCCTTCACCGACGGCTTCACCTTCTACGGCGCCGCGAAACAGGTCTACGGCTCCCTGAGCTTCTGGGCTTACCTCCTCCTCACCGTCGTCCTCTGCCTCCTCCCGCGCTTCTCGGCGAAAGCGTTTCAGAAAATCTACTACCCCCGCGACGTGGACATTATCCGCGAGGAAATCCGCCAGGGCAAATTCGACTACCTCAAGGACATTGACCCCGCGGACCTCGACCCCCTCGCCGCCGCCAAAAAAGCCGAGTCCACGTCGTCGTCCTCCGCGGGCTCTAATTCTGCAGCCAAGAAGGCCAAGACTTCGCAGCAGCAGCAGCAGCAGCAGCATCAGCACGCCCTCTCAGACGATATGCGCCCCATGTACCCCCCCTCCGTCGCCGCGACTGCCACTACCCGCGGCGGCGGAGGAGGCCAAGGAGGAGCAGACAACACGCACAGCCAGAACGGCAGCGACGGCACAGACTACACCGGCCACCGCTCCTCTCTCGACCGCGCCTTCCCTCCCTCCTCCTCCACTACCCACCACCACCAGTCCTCGCACTCCACCCCTTTCGCGGCTGGCACGACGCTCCACCCTCTCGCGCCGGCGATCACGGCGGAGGATCTGGAGGGTCCGCCCCAACGGAATCTGGCGAGGAATTCGCTGGATAGGCCTCGGCCTAGTTTCGATCGATTGAGGTCGAGTATGGATCGCACGAGGGCGAGTATTGAGAATAGTCGGGATTTCACTTCCGCGGCGTATTTGGCAAGGATGGAGAGTAGTGAGTCGAGAGGAGGCGGAGGAGGTCTGTCAGCACCGGGGGAGGGTGTGGCGGGGGGAGTTGGGCCCGGGGCAAGTCGCAGGCGGGATGTTAGTGAGGATTTGTTGAGATGAGATGAGATGACGTGAGGTGGATGGGGTTGAGCTGGAAGGGTTGGGTTTGAGGTGGGCTTTCGTTTGGGTGTCTGTCATGCGTGGCGTGGCGTGGGGCGAGCGAGGTGTTGTTCGTTTTAGACTACTTTAGGGGGGTTTTGTATATAGGGAGAGGAAAGACTCTTGAATCGTTCAAAAGAGTGAGGCATCACGCGTAGATGGTGTCGATGTGAACGACTCATCGCTTGAATTCCCACAACCCACCCCTGCGGTCAACTTACATGACATCCAAAAAAGCAAAAGAAAATCGGAGCACTGACTTGAACAGCTATAGCTCCCGCGGAGAGGCTCGAACTCTCAACCTTGAGATGATCTTTAGAGCAGGGCTGCTTAAAAGTCTCACGCGCTAGCCAATTGTGCCACTGTAGTCCCATTAGAAATGATCTTCATTTCGGTAAGTTTTGGTGAATATTTACCGCGGGACTGCACCAGGTGCAAATTGATGATTCAGCGTACCGAAGCGCAAAAATTGATTATATTCTCAGCATGTGTCTGCCGAAGAGCAGCCGTGCAGCTCCCAAGCTCTCCAGACTCTCTACGATCCGAAGATCTGGGTCACAAACCAGAGCGGGATGGATCTCTCCGAGGCAGCTCTTGGAAGTCTGCGCTTTACTGTGGCGACCCTGTGGGTGAAGTCGAAGAGACGCCAAGCCGCGGCCGCTTTCCCGCAAAAATTGGTTGACGGGCAACAAAACATTCTACACATGCAGTGAACGATGTCTATGCGCTGATCAAACGACAATCAACATGGCCAACGGTACTGCCAAACTAGCCGGTCTGGTCTTCTCGCGCGAAACATTCGCTAAGCTTACCCCCGGCCCTTTCCTTCAAGCCCACCTCCAGCAGCCGGAGCCCATCCGACCCAACGGTAGATCTCTCGACGCATTCAGAACACCGACTATCCACACCGGCTCACTAAGCCACAGCAACGGCAGCGCGGTGGTGCGACTCGGCGATACCGCGGTAGTCTGCGGCGTGCGTGCTGAGATCTTGCTCGCTTCCGATATTCCACATCCACCAAGCGAAGACACGAGCGAGGACGATCTGGTCGAGCGGCTGGGACTGCTGGTGCCGAATGTGGAGCTCAGTACTGGG